GGGGTTGCGGCTTGATGGGAGGTGTCCCCAAGTGTAATGAAAAGAACTATGGTGCAAAGCAACAAGGGGGAAGCCTTCCTCCTCTTGATCTTCGCTCGTGAGCCCATGGATTGGCCACTCCTCTATCTTCCACTCTAGTGATTGTTAGAGGGGAGGGAAATCCCGGTGTCTCAACTCTGACTAATAGATAGGCAGGGTTTTAGTTCTCACAGGAGCGACGCTCGGGCGGATAACGACGCTTCTTCTTCGATTTAGTTTTTTGTGCTTTGTCCTCCTCAAGTTCACCCTTGGGACCATATTAGATGAAGCTTCGGCATAGCTTCCTACTACCTTCTTTGTACGGTGAGGTTAGGGCACACACAACTGCGAAATTTGATGTAAGATTCTACAGATTAATTATAGGATTCAACGGCTACGACTACGGCTCCCGACCTCAGAGAAACGTGGACCTCAAAGAAACGTGCATAAAGACTTCTCGGTTTTCATTGAAATGGCCAGGTCGCCTGCGATATGAGAATGTTGACAACGACATGTTGGCGGTTTGTTCCGGTAGCGACAGTGGTCCATGGACCTTCTTGTAAAAACTTGCAAAAATGTTTTACATTGTGGGCGAAGGGAGTAATTTTTATTATGTTTGAGATGCTTTTTATACTTTTGATGATGGTTCTTATAATAGATATGATCTTTTTGAAAGAAAATAAAATCAAATTAAGCTTTCATAGTATTTACAAGATATATTTCTTTTGACAGAGCTATTTACATGGAATGTAAAAAAGCTGGAGAAGTGATGTTTAGGGAATCTCCAGCCGCGCCCCCAGGAAGGCCTCTCCAGGCGATTTTTTCGCACCGGCGCCGAAAAAATAGCCTAGTCGCGCCCCCAGGAGCCCGATTTTCGCCGGCTTGGGCCGAAAACAGCACCGATGGACCCATCCCAAACCGGCGCGCTGGGGGGCGCCCGGGGGCGCCGGGGCGAGCTGTTTTGGCGCGAAAAGGACGCGGGCCAGCCGCGTCAGCGACTCGGCGCCTCGTCTTCCCCCAACGGCATCGGTTCCCGCGGGGAATCAATGGCAAGGCTGCAGCCGGTCAGCCTTGCCATTGATTCCTCATGGGCGGCGCTTCACGGGACGGCGCGTTGATGCCTCCCCTCCCTCGCACGCGTACACACGGTCGCAGCCCGGCTATAAAAGTCGGCGGCCTCCACTCGCCTGTGCCCACACCAGCCCCGCCCCTCACCGCCGTCCAGCCCCTCCCTCTCCCTGCCTCTCCCGAGCGCCGCCGCCCAGCCCCTCCCTCTACCTCTCCCGAGCCCGCCCAGCCCCGCCATGGCAGAACGCTTCCCCGGAGACGAGGCGGCGGCCAACGGCTTCGGCCGTTGTTCGCTCCGCGAACAGGAGTCCTGGCTCCTGTTCCAGGCGAATATCCCGGCGCCGCCGAACATGCGCGCCGGGCCAACGGGGTGGAGACTCAGCGCCGGGGGAGTGCCCATTCCCCCGTTGCCCGACGCCGTGGCGAAGCCGAAGTACTTCGCCGAGGAGGTCGAGATCGTGCGCTCGTCCCTCACCGACGCCCAACTCTCCCTCCCCCAGTACGCCGCCGACAACCACGCGGCCTGGGCGGCGTATTTCGAGCGCCGCCAGCAGCAACGATTGGCGTCCACCAACGGCGCGCCGGTGGTCGGCGGCCGGCAGAACAGCGAGGGGCGCCACCTCTGGTGGGGCGTCCCCGGCCGCACACTCGAGGGCGTGCTCACGTACCTCGAGGGCGGCAACGACCCGCCGTTGGCGTACCCCTGGCGCAGCACCGACGCGTCGGGCCATGGGCGCCAAGGAGGTTCGGGTCCTCCTCCTCCTCTTCCTCCTCCCGATCCTCATCGCACTCCTCCGGCACTCTGGCCCTGCTCGGCGTCAAGGCCGAGCCCACGGCGGAGTCGCCGCTCGGCCGGCGCACTCGCAGCGCCGGCATCATCATCAACGAGGGCGGCTGGCGCGCCTCCTCCTTGTCGGCTCCTCCGCGCTTCGTCAAGCCAAAGACGGAGCCGGGGCTGGCGCCGGTGAAGACGGAGCCGAGGCTGGCGCCGGTGAAGGCGGAGTTCGACGACGACGACGCGGCCCTTGAATGGGCGCGTCAGGACTCCATTGCGATGGAGAAGGCGCGCCGGGAGAAGGTGAAGGAGCGCCAGTGCGCCGCCCTGCGCCGCTTCGAGGAGCGCCGACGCGGCCGCGATGAAGACGGGGTCGTCGTCCTATGCGACAGCGACGACGACGACGACGCGCCGCCGCCAGTCCGCCATGGCGACGCTGGGTCCAGCAGGGGCGCCCGCGTCAAGGAGGAGAAGGCCGACGACGACGATGCCGGCGACGACTTCAGCCCCTTTCTTTTTTAGATTAAGTTAATGTAATGAAAATGCGCGAATTTCGCCGAAATTTGCCATGTTTAGCCGAAATTTAACTACTTTTTATCATAACTTCGCCGAACGGCCCTTCTTTTTTTTAATACACGACTGGGGCTGCCCTGGAGGCCGACGGCTGGGAACCAACTCGCCCCAGGGCCATTTTTTGCGCCGGCTCACCTCCAGTCGGCGCTTTTAGACGCCCCCTTGGGGCCAACGGCTGGAGATGCCCTTAGATTGTTTCAAACCAGTCAGCAAACTGGTGGCGTATCTTTCCTGACACTATACACTTACGAAAACTTGCTCATATGTGCAGTTTTAGCACCACTTTTCAAGAACAGGGAAAGCAGAGTATATGGCGTGCCGCGTGCATTCGCACGACACTCCCCTCCGAGCTCAGGCTGACCTCCCCGATAGATCGTCGGTTTCCGAGGACTGACGAGCAAGCGAATCCAGATGAACAAACTGCCTGATCAATCCCACGCGATCAGTAGCTCCAGAGCGCGACGTCTCCTGCGCCGTAGCCGCCGTCTTCGTCGGCTCCGTCCATATGCGAGATACTCTGCCAGTCGCCGCCGCAGCCGCTCATCCCGTCGTAGTAGTAGTGGGAATGCTGGTCCAGGTCCGCCAAGCCGCCGTACATGGCGAGGCTGTCGTGCGGTGCCGCCGCGGCCTCCTGCATCATCAGCATCGTCGTGGGCGCGGGCGCGGCCGCCACGGACACAGAGGAATTCGTCGCGTCTTGGGGGCAGGCGGCCCGGGCGAGCGCCATGGCGGCGGCGCGGATGTCCTGGGGCGTGCGGAGCGTGGACGGATCGACGGCGAGAAGCGCGGCCGAGTCGGCAAAGTTAAGGCACGCTTCGCGGCCCCGGAGCGCGAGCGCGGCGACGTCGTGGGCGCGCGCGGCGGCCTCGGGACTGGCGAAGGTGCCGAGCCAGATGCGGGACTTCTTGCTGGGCTGGCGCACCTCGCACACCCACCGCCCCGCGGCGCCGCGCCGGCGCACGCCGCGGTACACCGGGTGGCGCGTCTCCCGGAACTTGGTCCGCCCCGCCGGCCGCTTCGGCGGCGCCGACGCCACCGTCGCGTACCCGATGCGATCGGCTACGCCGTAGAGGCCCACGCCGCACTGGTCCATCTTGCAAGGCAAGGCGACGATCGTTTGCTGTCCTCTGCAGCTTGCTAGGAAAAATCAATGGTGCTGGCTTGTGATCGAGGTTGTATGTATGGTCGGGAGTGAGCGAGGAGAGCGACATGGATATTATATATAGGATTCGGCCGGGGCGCGTGGCGGGACACGGTGGCGGAGGGACGCCGGCCGTGTTGGCGTGGCGGGGTGCTTTTGCTTCGCGCGGGATGCAATTATGCAAAGCAGTCGTCCGTACGTCGCGATCTCATCCTACAAGCTACAACTAGAAGAGTTCGGAATTGCACACTTTGCATCGGAAGCAAGGAGACCGGAAGGGGGAGAGGCCACGTGGAGACGGCGACAAAGACGGCGCTTTTCTGTTGGTATTGGGCGGCCGGCATGGTACTGTGTCAGTGCGTCAGACTACGGTGTACTGGTACCCGTACGCTAGAGGCTAGAGCTCCGTATCTCAAGGAAACCACGTGCGGCATGACCGGATGGGCGGGCGGCCCGCCGTTATTATCCTAGTACTAGTACTCTGTTCCGCAGAGCAGAGCAGCTGCGTGGGACGGACGGTGCTCCGGCTTGTCAACTGACTGCGCGCCCACGCCGGGCGGCGATAACGACGATCCGCGGCGCGGCGCACGTCAGGTTAACACTGCGCGCCCACGGGGCTCCTGCTGCCTGCTCTTCACTTAATCAAATTCCAACCAATCACTATTAACCACTCCGTAGACGCCCTGTAGAAACTCCCGCCCGGCTTAACGCCCTGTAGAAACTCCATGCCAACGCCCATAGTTCATGCCGGCAGCTATGCCAGCCTCTACAAAAAGGGCTCGTAGTTCATGTTGGCACATTTGCCAGTGGCCGACACAATTGCCAACACATACAAAGGGATAGTTCAACCACGTCATACATCTCTGTCGCGGTCATGCCGGCATACAAAAAGATGACGCTCTCTGCCATACATCCATCATCAAGCTTGAGCCTCTCCCTCTGCATCTTCTCGAATCAAACCTCTTCCTCAGAGACACCATGCTCAAATCCACCGGCATGATCTTCACCTCCTTCATCATGCAAGTGAGCGCCACTTCTTTTGCTTTGGTTTTGACTTTGATAGCCTCGATCTTCAGCTTCCCCGCTTGCACGTCCGCCTCCATCTCTAACTTCTTCGCGTGCATTTTTGCCTCCATCTCGAGCTTCTTCATTTCCACGTCCGCTTCCATCTCTACCTTATTCGCGTGCATTTTCTTCTCCATCTCGAGCTCCGCCTCCATCTCTATCTTTTTCACATGCATTTCTGCCTCCATCTCGAGCTTCTTCCTATGTATCTCCATATAGGTCGTCATTTGCTCTTCTTTATCTCGCCGACCCTTCTCCTCCCTTGTTTCCTTTTGGGTCATCATGCCTTGGAAGACAATTGACGCCGCATCACGCTTTTCATTTTTCTTGGAGTTGGTCTTTCCCTGCGGCCGTTGCTTCTCTCCATCACCATGGTCCTCAAAACGTCTTGCGGCCCTCTATTCTTCTTGAGTGAGGCTCCTTGAATTTTACGTTGGTTTTTATGGTCATCCAACAATGGGTGAGGGTGAACGATTTATTCCCATGTATTGTTGTGCGTGGGTGGTAATTCGAACAGTGACTTCCTAGTTATCTGCAAGCTGCGCTAACCAACCAAGCCATCTCACCCCTGTGTTTACTTACAACTATTTATTTGTTTTCTTCTTTCTTTATTTCTTTTTTCCTGAAACCATTTCATTCCCTTTTCCCTTTTTCTTTTCTTTTCTCTTGGAACAGTTCTGTTCATTTTTTCCTTTTTTGCTAAATGCGTGAACTTTTTCTTCAAATTCATGAACTTTTTTTGAAAACACGATGAACTTTTCTTCAAAATCAATTAACTTTTCTCAAAATTGATGATTTTTTCAAAACCGTTGATTTTTTTAAAAAAATTGGTGAACTTTTTTAAATCAATGAACTTTTTTCAGATTTGATGAATTTATTTTCAAATTTGATGAACTTTATCAAATTCTTGAACATTTTCGATTTTTGCGAACTTTTTTTCAATTGGTACAAACCTTTTTAAAAATTGATTTCTTTCAATTCATGGTTTTCGTGAATGCTTTTTCAAATTTCAGTTTTGTTTGTTCAAATATTATAAAATGGGAATATAATACAACTATATGTTTATTGTTCGTACTAAAAGAAAGGTCAAATAGAGTTGTTTCCTTTAGTAATCAACAGACTGAACTCGGTCTACTGATTAACATGCATGGGCATTTGCTTTGAGGTCCGAAGTTTGAGTCCACTTCACACGAAATAAACGTGAACTTTTTCCTTCGTATTTTGCTTTTTCAGCAGGTTGCTGGGCCGGCCCGCTATGCGTCGCATGCGAGCGCCAGTAGCGCGAACCGGCGCTTACAACACTGAATAGGAGCCCTCGGTTTCAGCTGCCACTGCATGGGAAGGATTGCCTTGTTATAAAACTAGACAACACCTCGCGCTTTGCTGCGAGAACTTTTAGTCTATCATATGCACATGATATGATACATAAAATTGAATAAAATCATTTGCATGGTAGATGTATGATTTTGAGATGAAAAAGTTGCAACACATTACTTGGAGTGTGATTTAAAGATAAATAGCATCCTGTGCTCTGCACACAACGAAGAATAATATATCGTCCAAGCAATTGTGCAGGTGTGCTCCAAAATTTTTATACCTGGCATGAGCGATCAAAATTAAGTATTGAACAATGTGAAATGGATGGAAGTGCAAATAGTGGCAATATAAGACTTTTTCCCATGGTTAATTGAGCATGGATAGTCATGAAAACAAATGTAAATTATTACGAAGAACTGACTGGCTACGATAGTCCTCTCTTTAGTGAATACCCTTTGTAGCTTCTCTTTTCTTTTGTAGATCATTTCTCATACATTAAGAGACATGCTTATGATCATGTGGAATGAATAATGACAGGAAGTTGGGGTCTAAGTTTGTAACCTCTGTAGCTTCTCCATATTGCTTCTTTCACTAAAATAAAGAAGAAAAAGCTTTGACTAAAACCACTATCTGAAGTTTAGTCAGCTTCAAATGCATGAGTGTCACAACTAAGGCTAATTTCAGTGCAATATAGGCCTAAAACATAGAAATAATTGCCCTAGTAAGAACAACCATGTGATACCAGTTTGCTTGCTCAAGACATAATGGATCGAAGCAATGAGGGGTATCCTAGTTAGCAAATCATAGAGGAGAAGATTTTTTTCTGTCCTTGAATATTCTGTTCATGCTCGCTGAATTCTTGAGTTCACAGCTGATTGAAATTGTGAGTTCACATCTCACATAAGAAGCACACTGATAAAACTACTTGTGCCCTTGTGAGTTAACTTATCACGTAAGAAGCGTACAAAATAAAAATGTATGTGTGAGTTTACATCTAAACACGAGTAATGTAGCCAATACTATAGGTATATACCCATCTGAGAGAGGATGCCCAACCGGAGTGGCGACGTAAATCACATCGGCAGGGGATTTTTTTTTTCAAAACTATCACATTTTTATAGCAAATTCGGAAACTATAGCACCTAATGCAAATAAATAAATAAATATCAAAACTATGACCCCGTCGGCCTCGTGTGGGCCGAAGAGGGTGTTTTTGGTCTGTAGTTGGCCGAAGAGGGCACTTCGGACCGCGGTTGACCAAAGATGGGCTTATCTGGGCCGAAGAGTACTCTTTGGTCAGCAGTAGGCCTAAGAGTCCCTGGGGTCCATCTTTTCACGTGAACGGGAGGCCAAAGCTGCATAGCTGCCCTCTTCGGCTTATGTTAGGCCGAAATGTTTTTTTGTAATTTTGACTTATGAATGTTGTGCAACCATTGCCCATCTTAGACATTGACAAAAAAATCGCGCAACCATTTCCCTCAATATTTTCCCGCCAACTATTGAGGAAAAGGGTTGCGCAAAATTTTTCTTTTCAATGTCTAAGATGGGCTAAAGAGTTGGCGGGAAATATTGAGGGAAAGGGTTGCACGAAAATATATTTTTTCAATGTCTAAGATGGGCTAAAGAGTTGGCGGGAAAATATTAAAGGAAAGGGTTGCGTGAAAATATATTTTTTAATGTCTAAGATGGGCAATGGTTGCACAACATTCGTAAGTCAAAATTCAAAAAAAATCAGTCTAACATAAGCCGAAGAGCGCAGCCATGCAGCTTCGGCCTCCCGTTGACGCGAAAAGGTGGGCCGAAGTGCCCTCTTCGGCCAACTACAGACCGAAAACATGCTCTTCGGCCCACACGAAGCCGACCGGGTCATAGTTTAGATTTTTTTTTGCATTGGGTGCTATAGTTTTCGAATTTTCTATGAAAAACATGATAGTTTTGAAAAAAAAATCTCGGCAGGGCACGGACTATGGGCACCAGCAGGAAGAAGTCGCCGAGATGTGCACTACATGGACATGGACGTAAGGCCAACTCCACCGCGCGACCCCAAACGGACGTCCGTTTTGCCCGAATTCTGTCCATTTGGGTAGGGCAATGGGGTCGTGTCCGGGCCTGTCCTGGGATGCGGTGGCCGTGCGCCCAGCGTGCGGCCGCATCCGTTTGCCCCAGTCCGCCAGGGCCTAAAATGCCCATATTTTCATATCAAAACAAGATTGCACGTTCCAATATTAATTGTTTTAAAATAAAAATAGTTTTACGACCCAATCAAAATTGTCTCTAATAAAATAGTTTTACAACTAAATCGAAATTGTCTTGAATGAAAATAAAATGAACCAATACATCTATTGGTTGCCAATGTGATCCCACACGTGCTCAACCAAGTCATTTTAAAGATCCAAATAAGTGTGCCAATCACGCAACTCATGATGGAATTGGACAAACTGTTCAAACGTGGCCGGTTCTTGATGCAGGGGCTCGACATTTTCACCTTGATAATCAAATCCTTGGTCGAAGATACTGTAATCACGCTCGTCCTCGACGATCATGTTGTGCATGATCACACAACCAGTCAT